CTGGTGAATAGGAGTGTAGGAGCTGCCCTGTCCAATAAAGATTAAATTAAGTAGAAGAATCCCAGCCGCTGGATATTTGGAAGCTCCGGTGGGGCGTCAAACCGACGTTTAACACATTTTTTCCAGTCACTGTGTACAAATTTTGGACCTGTTGGGCTTAACTTTAGAAAGGAAAGAAGAAAAAAGGTAAGGAAAGAAGGAAGGGAAAAAGAAAAGTGAAAAGAAAAAGCGAAGAAAGAAATTCACAGAAAACCCCCAGTTTCAGGGGAACTTTGCACTCAGAGAGGCTGAAGGCAGAAGCGGGGCTTCCTGACCTTTCTAGTCTTTTCTTTCCCCAACCACTCCTAGAATTGGAGAATCCCTCTCCTAGCTGAGGGCTTGGAATTTTGCTGTCTTGGCGAGTCTGAGTCTACTTTTATCCCTTAGGGACAGTTTGGTGGCCCAGGGTCACAACTGGGTGTGCAGCAGGAAAGATGCATTCAGAACCCAGTCGCCTCCTCTGTGCTTAATTTTTTTTTTTTTTTAACACTAAGCTTTTGGTAGCGCAAACTGAGAACTGAGCAGTTTCTTTCAGTGACTGCCCAGCAGGAGAAACAATGGCTTTCTCTGTCGGCAGCGCTTAGCTCTCTGGACACTGACCTTGAAGCTGAGGCCGGGCCAGGCGCTTCCTCCCCTGGGAATCATCCCGGCCCCAAAACATCGGCGTCTCCCTCCCACCTGCTCCTGTAGTCCCAGGGCGCAGTCTGGCGGGGGCAAAAGGCAAGTCCCTTCGTGGCAATGGTTCGTCCGTGCAAATACAACACTGAATAAATTAACCTCAAACCAGCTAGTTGGGGTGTAGTAGTTTAGCAGGACTAATTGCAGACAATGGAGCTGAAATGCCTTTTCCAATTAGCTGCTGGTTGGAGTTTAGTTGGAGGAACTGTCAGCTCCAACGATGGGTAATTGCTTTATTGCTCACAAAACTATCATCTATTTAGAACATATGTGCTAATTACTCTGGATGGGCGTCGAAAAAAGAGACCGTAAATCTAATAGCACTTTAAAAAGTCTGTGGTGCTTGTAAGCAATCCCAGTCCCTTGCACTTACTTCTCCTGCCCAGGTTGGCATGATGGATGGCTGTCTTTCAGAAAGGCTAAGGTTTGGACTGGAGGCATCTACGGGATGTTCTGGTCAAATCGCGTGCAAGAGAGCGAGCGGCAGCGCATGCTGGGCAGAAGCGATAAATCACTGTCATCAAAACCAGTACCTTCTTTAACTGCACACTTTTTTTTTCATTTTCGCAAAAGATTACTTTAGAAATCTTTTAATTGGATTATGCTGGGAAATTAATCTCCTTTAGCCTTGGCTAAATATATTGTGGCCACTGTCGGGAGGAAAGTCCTGAAACTGCAGCGAGGGCCACGTCCCCTTGCTCTCTCCTTCCCTCAGCCCTCCAGGATCTCCCAGCCGCGTGCAACAGCCGTGCTCCAAGTCGTCAGGAGTGATTGCGGGTGAGAAAGAGTGGAAAGACACATCTGGGCGGAAGGCCACGTCGGTCCCTAGTGAATTTCCTTTGTCCTAAAGGCCACGTTTCAGTCCAGGATTCCCTAGCTCCATATCTAGCATTTCCATAGCACCGCGCCTTCCTCCACAAAGTGTCCCGGGGGCCTGCTACCAGGCAGGAGGGAGGCTGGAGTGGCGGGAAGAGGAAGTGGGGTGTGTTGGCGGAGGGCTGCCAGCCAAAGTCACTACTTTGCCCTTTTCCCACACCTCCACCGCCTCCCTTCTGGGTCTCCGGTGCGGAGCTGGGTCTTTGCTAACATTCTCCACTCTACTTTTTTGCGTAAAGACGCACGGCTTGCTCTTGGCGTTTTCCCTGGTATAACTCTGGAGACTCTTCCCCTTGACGTGCACAGTGGTTGAGGTCCGAGAACTAGGGCCCTCCCCATTTCCCCAGCTCCTAGAGCTCCAGCGCAGTGTTGGGCGGGGACCTCCCTTCCAGCCCCGCGGCCCAGAGTCCTTAGCCTGGTCCAGCGCGGCTCGGGAGGCTGCGGAAGCTGCGGGTCGGACCCTGCCGGCCGCTTATCTCAGCGGGAGATGACAACATCTGTCCGAAACGGGATACCTACTCTTGCAGCTCAATTTAGCTCTTAATAGCAGCCCTCTGAGGTGTGGTTAATTGATAGGGATAAAGGCGTAATGACTGGACGAGGAGACGCCAGTGATCCTTTAATATACTTTTAAAAGAAACAACCACCACCCCAAACACCGGCGAGTCATTGCTCGGTGGGAGGATAAGACCGGGATCTGGCGGCCGGAAGAGCGAAGCCAGTGCTGTTTGTATCTAGAGGCTACAGTGAGGGGTGAGCCCTGGCTCTCAGGGCTGGGGCATCCGGGAACCACCAGGGCGCGCAGCTCAGGCTGGCAGGGGGTTGTCGCGTGGCCGCGGAGAGCCGAGCGGGGCGAGGACCTGGAAAGCTCGGGATGACAGGTGACCGGACAGAAGGGCGAGGAGGAGGCTAGAGCCACGGAGGACGCCGCCCCTCCCCGGGCTCGGCCACTCTATCAGCTCTTACCCTGCGCGGGGCTGGATCCCCACGAGACAGGCACCTTCGTCTGCCCTCCCTCCCCGGCTAAGCTACCCCTCATCCAGCGAGAGCGAAATGGTCAAGTGGCAGTGCCAGGCGGACACTCGTGGGGTTCCAATGTCTGGACGACCTCTGAGGGACCTCAGCTCCGGGAGAGAGAGACACGCGCCGCTCTCTCTCTCTCTCTCTCTCTGTGTGTGTGTGTGTGTGTGTGTGTGTGTGTGTGTGTGTGTGTCTAGATCGCCCCGAAATGCAGAGTCAGAGCAGCAGCCCAACACGTGGCCGTATTTCTGCGGGGTCTGCGCAGAGCTGTGTGGCCAGGCGTTCTGGGATTTTCTCGCGCGCAGCTGGGTCCCGCCACGGGTCCCGCCGCCCTTGCGCACCACACACCCAGACTTCTGCCCGCCACTCTCTCCTCAGCACCGTCCCTTTCCCTCACCTGATCTCCCTTAGCTCAGTTCTAGTTTAGTCTCCAGAGGGTCACAGGAGTGTGTTACACTGCGCAAGCCCCTAACTCAGCTTCACACAAACACGAAAGTGAAAAAAATCAGATCGCCTTTTCTGTTTGCAAAGGGGGACCCCCTCCAGGTGCGGTTGGTGGTGTTCCTAGAAGGTTTTGCGAGTATCCTGTTTTACACTTAGGAGGGATAACCTGGATGCTTCAGGTTTGAGCTCCCTCTGGAAGCGAAAGGAGAAATGACTACAATCAGCGTCCATATTTAATTGTATTGAGAGATCGCAGGTGTTTCGGCTGCTGCTATTGTCTGCCTTCCTCCCTGAGCCCACATAACGGACGAGAGAGTCCCAAGAAAGTTAATTTCCCCAAACCTCCTTGCGGAGAAGGAGTGCGTTGTCAGAGGGCGAAGCTTTGGGGTACAAGATTTGAAAAAGAGCAATTAATCCTCCCAACTCGCAGAGTGTGCCTGTCTCGGGTGGTTCTGTCCTTCCACCTCACTGTCTAATCTCATCTACTGTGGTTCTAGCCTCTGTGATGTCTAGAAATTCGAGACTCACGGTCTCTTAACCGTCGAGCCTCCCGCCCCGTCCGCAGCCCTAGCCGGGGAGGACTCCAAGGCCGCGGTCTTCAAGGCCGTGGTCTGGTCCTCGAGCGCCTGAGTCAGGGACAGGGTCCCAGATCTAGGTCCATGCTCTGGTCGGCTACTCCCGCTCAGGAGCTCCCTGCCCGGGATGAACTGCGTGACCTGGCGGCGGGTCTCCGAGGCTTTCCCCGAAGGCCTGTGGCCTTCGGGACGCCGGAGTCCTGATGTGACTGTGGCGGCCACTCGTCGTCCGCCGATGCCCTCGGATCAGCGTGGCCCTCGGCGCTGCGGAACCGGAGAGCGGCCCGGAGACACCTGCCCGAAGCCCGCGCCGTCCCCACGGCTGTCAAGGGCCCTTCCTCCCCCGTCTCCTCACATTCCTCACCCCACGAGGGCGCTCCCTTGCGAACGAATTCTGCGCTCTGGCCTCCCGTTTTCCCTGTAGGGGCCCCCTGGGGCCCCTCCCACTCCTTCCCTTGAGGCCTGGGAGCTCGGGCCTGAGCTTCGCTCAGCCTGGGGCGGGGCTGGGCGGGGGGAAGCCGCTCCCGGAAGCGAGGCCCACATCCGGGCACGAAGCCTCGGTCGCGGCGTTGGCGGCCAGGCCCTCGACGCGAGCGGGGAGCCGCGTGCGGCCGAGGGGCCTGGACCGCGGGTGGGCGCGTCTGGCCGTCCTCCAGGGCAGCGCTTGCGCCGGCGCTGAAGGCCCCCACGCAGCGAGCCGGCCGGAGTGACACAGCCCCGGGCCCGCGCAGAGGAAGAGAGTCAAGAAGTAAGCCAGGCCCGACCGGGGGGTGGCGCACGCTCCCCGAACCCCGGGGCCGAGCCCTCGGTCGGCGCTGGCTGTGTGTTCCCCCCTCGGGTGGGCGCTGCAGACCTCTTCCGAGTGGACCCGGAGGGAGTGAGCCGGCCTCCGCCCAACTTTGTAAGGTTCGGAGACCCACCGTCGAGCGAGACGGCTTTTGCGAGGCTTACTACGCTTCTCTCCTTTCTTTGGCCAGAGCGCTCTGAGCCTGGTGCCTCCGGGGCTGCTCGACAGTTCGCCGCGCCTCGGGCCGCAGGTCCTCTTCAGGTGTTGGGTTGAGAGGGGTAGGGAGCAAGGCCTGGGGCAAGGCTGGGAAACCTCAAACCCTAACTTCTAGTTCGAGGAGCGTGGTTTTAAGAAGTTGCAAAGTCAGTGGGAGTTCACTTCGTGGCCTTCGGCAGCTTTGAAAACATCCGTCCACAAGGCGGGAACAGCACAGTTTAGAAACGGCTGTGTAGTCAATAAAAAATATTTTTTGGAAGACTGTATCTGGACAGTTTTCCCAGAGATTGTTTTATAATCTCTCAATTTACAGAGTTGCTATGTATCTCGCCACTGGTACACTGAATAGTATCTTCCTTCAGACAGGGATTGAGAAACGGAAATACCACCACCCTCGGGCCAAACTTGTGAGGACTGATTGCAGGGGAACTGGTGCTCCAGATGTTGCACTAGAGGCGCTGCAAGTGTGAGCAGGTAACGTGGAGAAGAGTGACATTGTTAACAGAAAGCATCTAATTAACAGTGACTTCATTTGATTGGAAGGATGAAAAAGCCTTTTTAAATCAATCCAGATTCACTGGCCTAAACTCAGCCAATTTATGAATATGTGGCCTGACTGGGGTCTGCTTTCTTTCAAAGATGTCATCTTAGGGGTAATAGCATAGGTGAAGTCATTTGGTTACACTGTGGAAACTTTTATAGTGCCTTCCTTGGGAATTTAATTCAGTGCTTCTTCATTTTATTAGGAACAGACTGACTCCATCAACTGTGCTCTCCCTGTTTAGAGGCAGGACTGCTTGAAGCAATTAGGTTCACCAATTAGCATAGTTTTACTGACCCCAGCAGCAGCACTGCTCCTTAGATTATCCATTTCTTCAAAGTCAGGGAAAAGCTGGAGCACAACATGCTTCCCAGGTGTCCAGGTGGGGGAAATAAGCCCACAAGCAGGGTAGCACAGCAGCGCAAAAAGCTTTCTAATATTCCCTAAGTGTTTGCTTCAGCAACTTTGGTGGATTTTTCTCCCCTTCTCTGATTCTGGATCCTGCAACACCTCCATCTTTTGACATACCCTGTAAAGCCTCTCTCCTTTGGTTGTATTTTGGCAGAACTGCTTTTGAGAAAGTGAATTGTCTCCTTTCTTTTCTGTCTGCCTGCATGCTAATGATGCTCTGGACAATGTTAGGGTCCACAGAGAGGACAATGCTGAAGGGCTACTTTAAACCCTGAGGTGAGAAGGTAAGGGCTCAGCTCTTTGGGGGTGTGTGCATGTGTGTGCATGCATGTACCTCAGGACTTTTGAGAAGAGGCCAGAGGGTGGATATTGGAGATAAGTCATTGCTTTCCCTAATACTGAAGGTTTACCTGCAAGACTTTGTTGCTGTCTCTTCATTGTGACCTCAACTAGTTGGGCCAACATCTTTAATAAATGTCTGGAGCCCAAGGCAGTCTGAGGGAAAAGGGGCTTTGGTCTTGCCACTGTCAAGGGTATTGAAGGGATTACACTTACCTGGCTATTGCCTCTCTCTCTCTCTCTCTCTCTCTCTCTCTCTCTCTCTCTCTCTCTC